ATGATAGAGTAATAACATACAAAAGTAACTCAACAATCTTATTCTTAACTCTTGACAAGGAATCTCAGTAACCTTTCTAACTTATATCATTACTCCCATAACATGATAGAGTAATATTATATAGAGGTAACTCAACAATCTTCCCCTTAAATTGTGTTAAGTAATCTCAGTCACCTCTCTAACCTATAATATTACTCCGCGGGAAGTTTTAGACGGAAACTTAACACAAGGTCCCTCTTTAAACGAGAGTTAACTAGTACTAAGCCGTAGCCATAACATGTTAGAGTAATATACAAAGATAACTCAATCAATCAATTTATTGCCAATCTTGACTGGCTCAATCACGTGCTCCAAATCTCCATCACTATCGGTGCTACTTCTTTATCATTGATCATATGATGATTAAACTCTTTCACAATCATATCCGTAAGCAGAGGTTTTTTCTTGTCGGTGCAGAGAGCATAAAAACTCTCCCCTTCTTTCAATGAGCAAGGACTCATTGAAAGATTTATGCTTACTGACAAAAAATCTCATAGTCTACTAGATTCTATAGCCTGTAGCACTACTCTTCCAAAGCATGAATATTGTTGTCACAGATTCTCCAACCTATTGCGTTGTCATATCAGGTCGTCAAAATTCTAGATACAATAGTACCTTCCGGGGCATTTTTCTCCGTCTAGGTCATCTTTCAACTCTTAAAAATTGTCTAGATCCATTAGTCACGTCAAGAGCTTTCCAACGGTATTCAATTTGTCTACATTCCGACAAAAAAACGTTGCAAACGGAATATGTACAAACATAGTATTTTCTTAGATTGAATCTTCTTAATTGACAAACATAATCTTTCACTATCATCCGTAATCACCGTCATCTGTGACCGTTGATTTGACGTCGAGTATTAACGTCAGCCGTCGTCGTTGGCCGATAAACAAGATGACTCGAGGAGCTTGACAGCTTTGAACAAGCCTTGAATGCTTCAGGTTTGGAAATCTCTTCCTTATGCTAGCATCCAGGTGATTTGATTCTGCAAATGTCTTGAGTTTTTTAGTCTCATCAAAGCCTATAGAGTTGGTGGGGCTTGGTACCAGGATTTGACATTCCCCCGGGAATCCCCGGGATTAGCTAACTAACTTTGGAGATAGGGGTTGAGATAGAGAAATAACAAGAGGAAATCGCCTGACTTCCTCTTGCTAACAGGGAGCTACATCCCGAAGCTTTTATGGATAAAACTCGGGGACATTCCCTTGTAAATGTCACTTTATTGTATGAATTTCGGGCACACTCACTAGTAAATAGAGGACTGAAGAGCTTTCAATCCCGCAGGACGAGCGGGAAAGCAACTGCTTCACTCTTGCACTCGCGATTATGTAATTAATGAGTCACCAATATCTATTGTTCGAGCGGACATATCATGTAGCCAAACATGCATCCAGTGCCCTGCCCTCTTAAGAGCATATTTTCCTTTCAGTATATACGTTCTCATATTCTTCGAATGAGCAAAGCGTTTTCATACAGTGTACAACATGGTTGACGAAGCCAGACCTTCACGACTAGCAATTGTAGCCCACCCTTGAAGATAGTTACAGCTGCTATGTAAAAAGTGATATCTCCACAACAGTGTAGCACGACACAACACCAACCAAAAAACGTAGCAAGTTTGTTGGCGTACAGTAGCAGCTAACACAGAGTTTGAGGTTGACAAGGCCCACACATCAACCCATCTCTACGCAAGGTATTGTGCAGTAATTGAAACCTGATTTGATCATCTCAGCTTCATCATATGTAAGGCTTTTATCAATGTTGAATCAAATGTCAGCTTGTTGCAGGTGACAATGCATCTGCAGAACCTAGCATAGATGATGCTTCAGTCAGCAGCCCTCTTACTTGCAGATGGGCTGCAGCTTTTAACGGATGTCGAGTTCCTGAGTTACCACTTCGGCAATGTGCGAGATGCAGCGTTGGGACAGTCCATCATCTTTGTGCTGCTAAAAATATCGCCAATTAATCAGAGCTTGACAATTGAAGCTTATAGTTTTTTTTTCAACAAACATACTTGTTTTAAATTTATGCAAATCTTCTATTTATGGATAAAATATAACAAGATTGTGTAATTATTACATTCAATTTTATTATCAAAACACATAATAAAAAAGTAAAACATAGATTCATAATAACATGATTACAAATATGAAACCATGAGTAATCAATCAATACTTTATATTGAAATATGTTTATAAAAAAAAAGAAGAAATATTGGCTAAGATGAATAGATTACCTAAAAAGTAGTTGCAAGAAGTATTGAATAGTGAGTCAAACTAGTTAGATATTATAGAATTTCATTTGTAAAAAAGAAAGAGTTTAAAGCAAAACTTTTAATTTGATTTTTATATGTTGATGTTGTTAGATATTTGAACCTACTTGTTGAAATCATTCTACAAAGGAAGACTAAAATTTTTAACAATTTTACATTAAAATTTTAAACCATGATACTTACTTTTATATATTGTTTTCACTTGATTGCATCTTAATTTAATTTAATTTCTTTACTTTAGTCTATCATTCAACAACCTTGAAATTTTTCTGTACATTCTCATGCTGTTACAATTTGCCACTTTTGCTTAATATTAAAACGATATCAAAATATAGAACCTTGGACTTAAGTTTATCTTTCGATATGAATATAAACTTTTGACTCAATCAGGCTAGAACAAATTTCTCAAAGTCTAACTATGCTTCAATGCTCATATACTAGCATAAAAATTGGATGATGATAAATATCATCACAGTTTTAGCGTGAAAGTATATGGTGTTTTCACTAACTGTTCTTCATTGTAGATTTAAATAATATATCTACATTATTTTAAAAATTTGAAATTGAACTTGTAACAATTCAAATTTTGATCGCATTCCATAAGCATTAGTTTTATAATAACGTTGTAAGTTTTGACAAACGTGCTAATTGCACCATTGGCTTTAATTGCTATATCTGTATCACTTGATATTGATAAATCAGTCAACTAAATAAGTCATGGCACATCATGTGTTGTAAAGTAATTTCACAGAGTATTATATTTCATCCATGTTAGCCATGCATGTAGTCATGAAGTAACCAAACCAATTTCAACTACCAAATTATTGAACCTCAAATAGTATTTTCTCACCCATGCTCTAGAGTCTAAAGACTAAGTATTCTGTCTTTTCGAGAATTGTACTTGAATTATAAAAGTTTTTGATAAATTGAAAATTTTACATTAGTGCCCTCGCATTATTTCGGTTTGAAGAGAAATTGTGCTTAAGATATCTTACAAACTTACAAATGACTTGTTCAATTAAATCCAATTACTTGTTGTTACACTGTATCTTCAAAATCTGGTGGCAATCTCCCTATGACCATTGTGCATTACGTCTATCAACAACGTCCTCCAGTTGGTGCCGTTTCTCTAATTTGGTATGATAACCCTAATTTCTTTGCTCGTAACTTATCGTAACTTGTACTAGGTTTAATATTCTGAGAAGGGAGTAAATCCGAAAATGAACATGGGTTAGAAACATGTGATTACTAGTGGGATTTGACTACTTTTCTTCAAGTCATATGTGATATTCTTACTGTTCATGACTTCAAGTTCCTTTTGTAGTGTTATGTGCGTTTGAGACATCAGCTTTACATTCCCACATGCAAGAGAACTGTTATTGAACTGAGCATATTGAATCGCTTTGTGTCGTTAAGATGCACAATCATTATAAAAACAAAACGGATGGAAATACTCTAGTAATTTTATCTTGGATTTAATCGGCCATCAAACAAGAAGCATATTCCAGATCCCATAAAACCACAATGTGAAACATTGTTTTTTAAACCGACCAGATATTTTAGCTGCGGTAGTTACAGAGGCACACAAAAAACAGTGCATCAGAAGTGAAGAGAAGCCACCTCAAACGTTTGTTTTCTTTGGTTAACACTGCTATTTCCCCTTTCGATGACACTAGAAAGTATTCCTTTACGATTAATTCAGTAAAATGAGTGCACTAGCAAGTAATCTTTGAGATCAGATCCTAGAGACAACTTAACTGAGTTGAACCACCCAATAATAGAAAATATAAAGAATGTCAACATTCTCTACATTTTTTTTTAATGATATTGTAGACTATCACACATTTCACCCATATAATTGCTTGTGCATATCTAGAATTAATTTCAAAGTTAGACAGCAAATTGTTAACTTCTTTGCATACCTATAAACTTGAGAGGCTTGACACTTACCACCCATCCACTAGGATTGATAACCAAGACTGGAACCATACCATGCAAGCAACCTTGTCAACACCTGAACTTGAAGAGATTGAGTGCAACAGCTCCACTTACCACCTATTCACTAGAATGAGTTATCTAATCGCCAAAATGTACTCACATGATTAATTAATAAGCCACCATACGGGAAACAATAGCATGCAAATGACTATGGTAAACATGAACTTGAAGAAATTCAGAGCAACACCTCTGCTAAAACCCATCATCGAGGATGTATTGTCTACTTAATGACATTGAGTCACATGAAACAGTTGAAAACCTACAAGACTGACACGTAAATGTACTTCACTTTGCTATAACCATTGATAACCACCATCTACGTAGCACTACCTTTCTGTTCGCATACATGTATGCTTTACCTACAGTTCACTGAAACGCATACCATTGATTCTTGCAAAAAGATTAGAAATATCCCGTCTTCCACAGTATACATACACCACTTCCACTCCAAAGGTCAAGGAATCATAACGAGTCATCCCATTTACCATTTACCATTTATAAGTAGGGGAAAAAGATTCCAAATCAACTTTCCTATATCTGCGAATGCTGCTTGCATCGAGTCATACCTCGCTGCACGATAAAAAATAAATCTGATCGCAACTCTGGGTCACGTGAGAAGTGACTCGGAACAGTAACCACACTCGTTAACATTTGAACAAACGCAAGGAAGAAGAAAAATGAGATTTTATTTATGACCGGAATGTATCCAGGGCTTTGTGTGTTGAACCTATGGCACCTGATCCTACTACAGTACAAGTCCTTGTACCGACCAAGGGCACAAGGGAGCAATATGCATGTTTTATCAGATGATCTAGAACTACGATGGCCTTTTGGTTGTGAGAACTCGCAGTCTGATAAAATGACATGCAATTCCATTAAGTCACAGCCGAGAAATGTGGGGAGGCATGCACACGTTTACTCTTCCTTTGGATATTAGAAGTCAATTTACAAAACCGGTTCCCGAGAAGCACCAAAGTTGAACGGAGCTAGGAGAGGAGGATTTAAATAACAGTTCCTGGAGCGATGGTAGAATTTTTCAGAATGACGACGATTCCTGACCTGATGTAGTATCCCTGCGACGCCCTCTCTGCTTCTTGCACATTCTGCATTGTTCATCGAAAGTTGAGCTCTAGTAATATAAAGAAAAGAAAAACCATTTCGACAACGAGATTGATTGCAGTAAAACGTATACGTTTGCCTTGAACTTTAGAAGCACTTACATCTGCGTTTGCGATCACCACGTTGGAGCCGATCCTCGCATTCTTGTCGATGATGCAGTTACTGGAGAACGAGGCAGCAGACAGCTTGCTTCAGTTCGAGACTTCCAGATCACTTTCGTGGCAATTTTTTAACTCATGAGAAAGAAACTTTCCTTATGCTAGTGTCTTCAAGAAGATCACCACCCCAAAACTCGGGAAACAAAAAGTAGAGATAATCCACATACCTGATTTTACAGTTAGCTCCGACGCCTATTGGAACTTTGCCCTCAGCAATCAAGGCGGCTCTCTCAGCGTCTGTTTCGTAATAATCTGCTCCTAACATCATCGTGTCCTGCAAGTGATCCAGTAGAGTGAGCAATCAAGGTAGAGAGGACTTGACGTCAAATTGGTAGGGGTTGCAAGGTGTGAAACAGAATGCACCTCGAACTAAGAATGTGATTACCTTCAGCGCACTACCGGAGGCCATTTGAGAACGAATACCGACAATGGAGTGCTTTATGCTGCAATCCCGGAGGAAGCATCCATGAGATATGATCGAGTCCTCAACCTGCATGAAAAGCGACAGGGTATTAGAGAGTTTGTAGCGAATCAGAGAGCACGAGAGGAGATTCACGCGTGCGGTTCATACATGAATCTGGGGTCCAGTGGCCCTACCCTGCATTTCTCTATCTTTGACGGTGGAAGATACCGAGGTGAAGTGAAGATGGGCTTGACAGCATCATAGAAGCTGAATTTGGGCGGCTGTATGCACAACACCCCACAACGCAACGTAAGGTTATGAATGAAAATTCCCAATTTTTAACTCTTGTGCAGATATAGAAGCAATTACATATTATCCATTATAACTTTTGGATTTTTTGGCCAAATTCTACAACAATTCTATTCTACAGTTTTCACGGTCAGTCAAACTTTTTGCCACATAGAAAATGAGAATTAATAAGTAGTAACAGTGAGGGGTAAGGACAATATTAACTTGAGCGGTGAGTCCCAAATTGGCATCGAAGAAGGACTTGATGGTTCCGATGTCTTCCCAGTAATCATCAAAAAGATAAGCCTGATATCAGACGATGAGAGAAAATCAGATCTCGGCTCGGCGACTGCAGCCGGATTAGTAGACTGTGAAGAGATCCGAGTGAGTAGATAGTCCATGATCTCATTACTTCTCCAACTTAGTGACAGCGCGAGGCAGAATTGCAAAGCCTACAGAACAAGCTCCCCCGTACCTGCACATTGAATTCCTTCGCTGACGCAGGAATAATTTCTGAACCGAAATCGTTGGCGGTGGGATACCTCCATCTGCCAGATATTTCAGCAGCTAAATGTAAGAAACAGAGTAACCAGGCATCACATTCTTAATCTCCATATATCTACAAATTGTACATTTCGGTGTACAAAAGGTCTCCGCTCAGGATGAAACTAACGGCCTAAGATGAGTTCCGTGTTTCAAAATGGACAGATATTCGACATCTTCGTTCGACGCCATATGAAAGCAAGTGCATTTATTTCCTAGTTCGTGCACAGAACTTCAACCGCTCTGGCAAATAGCATGCAACGGACTATGTTCTCTCTTTCTAGTCTCAGAGTGCGTGAAATCAGGTACCTGAGGAGCTTTTGCAGAATTTCTTTCTTAAAAACATAAATTCCCATCGAGGCAATGTAGGGCTTGGATTTGGCATCTTCAGCAGACAAACCAAGTACTGAAGTATCGACTTCCTGGAAACATCACCAAGTAGAAGAAGTATCGTCATGAGTTTCGACGGCTCCACCAGGCTCACAACAGTTCATCCTCGTGCCGACCGAGAACAAATTTAAGTTCTTCATCCACATCATATATCACACGCCGCGTGGCAAACATGGAGGTGTACACACGGGTAGAAGTCACAAACCATGGCCTTCAAGTCTGCTCCCTTGGGCTTCTCACTGAAATAGAGAACTCGCCCCGTGTCGTCGATTTTCATCAACCCGTAGTCTGATGCCCGGCTGCAAACAGCGGAGCCACGGGAGTAAGAAAGACGGCGGTGCTCAGCTGCCGGCTCCGAGAGCAGAGCGAAACAATCGCTCTGGTCACGTGCGTCATGCATGCCCTTCTTTCAGCTCAGGATACACTCCGGGCGGAGATGGAAACATATTCTGGGAATTTCGAAGCAAACAGCGCAGCAGAGTACACAATTTTCGGGTTACCTGTCATCCATGGGCACGCAAGAGATGGTGATGTCGGCGCCGCTATTCCTGTGTTTCTGCAGAACCCGAGTGAGATGCAAGATTAGCCTCGTGGAGTTTGGGGCACGGCTAGTGGATGCGCCGAATTCGCAGATCGCTCGAGGGAACCGAAGACTTGGGGGAAGGTTTCTCACCTCGACGAAGTCCATGTAGTCCATGCGGTAAAGGTGGTCACCTGACAGGATCAGGACGTCTTCCAGGTTCTTATTCTTCGCATCCTGGTCAAGAAAAGAATGCACCTGTCAGAACACTGCACCTCGTCGACAGCAAGACACCACGTGAAAAGGTCACTGAGGCAGGACCAACTTTGACAGCCAATAATTCGAGACAAAGATTTATCAAACGAACGCTTCCCCATAAACCAACTCACCTCGAATAACCACAAATACTGTCGCACGGCGTCTGCAGTTCCTTGAAACCATTCCTTACCCCCCTCACCTGGGGTTTGGGTTGCAGCCAAAACCTGTTAAATCCGTACACACGAAGCCTTGTAAAGACGGCGCGCATGATCAAGGATGCGACACAAAGCTCGAAATGGGCGACATTCCTCACCGGCTCAGAAAACTACGGCCAATTCACACGGGCCCTTTCTTTGCGGGCGGTAAAGAATTTCTGCGAAGATTTGAAACTTCCTTCCCGGAGGTCTAGCTAGACCAACCGTCTTCTCCGCTTTCGGTAACAGCCGGTGCGACATGAGGTAGAAGTCATCACTTTGTCGACACATTCCCGTGCAGCATGCAATACTTCGATGGGCCACTTTTCGTCTTCGTACTGAATCTGAGTCCAGGTCCACGATGATTGGCCAGTTGCAGCCCTTCGATGGGAATGACGGAATGATGAGTCGCAAAGCTCAACCTCACGCGCAAATGTGAGACAAAGGCTACGCGCACGACACTGACAACAAGCTGACCTTTACAGAAATTTCGGGAAGTCGAAAAGCAAACCTCGACGAAACCGTCCCCGAAGTTGATGCCGTTTCCGAAGTTGTAGGTGCGGGCAAGATGACGATTGAGAGAAGCAGAATTAAACTGAGTGAGGATAAACACTTTGTTTATACCACTGTTGATGCAGTTACTCATTGGCACATCGATGAGCCTGTATCCTCCTCCGATAGGCACCTGTTCGATTCCAACCGTCCACACTTTAGCTGGCTCCGACGACAATGTTCGGGAAAACATTTCAATGCGCGGAAGCAAGCAGTGGACAAGAGAAAGCGAAAGTCATGAGAGGGAATTCTGAACGCCCTGCACTTACCGCTGGTTTCGCTCGTCTTTTCGTGAGTGGGAACAATCGAGTTCCCGCTCCTCCTCCAAGAATGAGGGAGACCACAGTTTTGGGATCAGCGCGGGGCGACTCATCGACGGGCTGCTGCAGACACATGGCACACATCCACGCGTCAAAATCTGGCGAGAAGATTGCGACTGGCTGTTGCAATCCTCGACAACAATTGAGGATCACTCATGTGAAGAAATTTAGAGCAACTGCTTGTCATGACCAAGAAAATTCGTTCCGGCTTTGATAATGAGATCGGTGCGGCATATCTTCCACGTCGTTGACTCAGTCACCACAAACACGACTTCCCAGACTACACGAAAATTCCGACTCTGAACTCAGGTCGGTGGAGTGTACAAGAGTGTTGCGACTGTTAGCCTGCAGACTTAGAAGCACAGTAACATGCAATGATGTCCCTATGAATCTTAAAAGAGGAATTGTTCACTGATTGATGCAGGAAAAGCGGAAGACGATTACGCTCTCGAATTGCGCAGGGAAATCTCCTGCTCGCCGTCAGCTACTGAAGAACTACAAAACGAGGATAATCTTCAAATTCATCTTTGACCTTTGAAGTTCTCAAGTCTAGAATACGGAATCCGACCCAAAAACAGTAATGCTAACTTTGTACCGGAGCGTAGGCGCAATGGATAACTTCAGACTTGCACAATGGCAGCTCTATTCGGAGTGTGGACAACTTCGGTTATCGTAGTCTATGCACGAGAGATTTTAGTAAGCTCTACGACGGCTCGACAGCGTCCACATTTCTTGTCGCAATTTCCGAATCCTCCAAACAAATAGAAGGGCCGAAGAATCAGTGGGGATTCGGGATCTCATCATCTGAGACCAGAGCAAAGATGTCATACCACGGTCTTCTTGGCAACTTCAGTAATCACAGAAGAGATTGGCGCTCTCTTGAAAACGCTCTGCTGCCTGCTACTGCCGCTCCTGGAGCTGTCGAGAACCCTGTTGCCCTGCTTGAGGAATCCCGAGACGGCATCTCCCCGGAATGCAGACCGTCCGAACGAGGCCTCGGCACTGCGCTCGGCCACTCCGCTGGTGGAAGCCACGGCCACGTTCTTGACGGCACAATGCCACCCCACGGAAGTCACAGCAGCAGCTGCCATGGCTGCTCGCTGCACTGACTCTGGCCTGCAGCCTCCAACACTCCACTCCACTCGCCAACTGGTCACGCCTTCCAACAATTCCAAGCTCTGTCCGAGCTGCACTCCACTCTTCTTCGCTGCTCGCCTCTCCTCTCGTCTCGGCAATGCCAATGCCCCAGCCAACAAGCTGCCCCGTCTTCTTCTTCTTCGCTCGGAGCCCAAGCCGCTAGCCGCGCTGAGGTGGCTGCTGACTCAATTAGAGGATCCTCCCTCTTGTATTGCTGTCTTGCGTTTCACAGGCGCCTTTCATTCGTTGCTGGGCTCATTCGCACTCTCTATTCGCCGTCTTCCTTTCGAGGGCCTCCCTTGGGCTTCTCTTCTTGTTTCTGCGACGGGGGAATGCGAGCGAGCGAGCGGGCGGGAAGGGGAAAGCACGGGCCAGTCAGTCGTCGGGACCGGAGGACCGGAGGACGGCGTTCCTGTTTCGGAAACCCAGGATCGGCCCTCTGGGAGGCGCAGGACCAGACATACCGTATAAGCATCCATATCCATGGATCCGCCGGTGCGGGGAACGCTGAGAGCGCGACCGAGCGTGCCATGTCACGGGCTATCTTCAACGTCAGATTGACTTGTCCGCGCTGAGAGGCGTAAACCGGTCACCGGGGTGCGATGTCAGGAAGCACCCAAGTGGCAAGCCTGGTCGCTCATCCGTGTCCGTTTGGGTGGCCACGAAGCCTTGTGAGCCCCGCTGCTTGCAGCTCGAGCACCAGTTTTGCGCACTCTGTGCTGGGTCTTTGAATTTTTCTCGCCGGGGTCCCACACTTCGAACATACGAATCTTTAGCAAATGTCCGCCGTCGAGCTCGTTTCGCTTCAGGTCTCTAGTAATACCTTTTTTTATTCGATAAATGTAAGACTCTAGTAATACCTTTTTTTATTCGATAAATGTAAGAATCTAGATTTTGGTACGCATATCGGTGGCTTCTTCTTCGACTTATGTACTCTGTGGTCAAATGTATTTATACATTTTGCCGTCCGCTACGGCGCATCGCTTTTCTACAACTCAATGGCACAAGATCGGAGTTTCTTTTCATCTTTCTCGATCAAAGCTCGCTGAAAACAAATCCCAACTACTTTTTTCATTCCAGCTTTGAGTTATAAAGGTAAAACACGAATGATGTAATCTTACTCCTCACCTAACCAATCTAAAAATACTGTACTAGATTCGAGGTCATGTCTACTTTCCCTCTCAAGATGTTAAAGCATTTTACACCTGGATGGGATTTCAAGGCTTGTTTACTGATATCGTCTTAACAAAATAATACATCTAGTTTTTAGGTGTACACATCATTTTCTTTCCGACCTAAGTCTCTCACTGATCTCTCACATAGATAATAAATTGCCATAAGACTTGCCAATTCTGAATTACTCTTCATATGTTGTGATGTTTGTCTTCATGTTGAATTTGTGTGAGTGTCGTCTTGGATTATTAGTAAAAGGTTGATCTACTTTTACAAGGAGTTTGTAAATGGTAAAGAGATAAAGCCCGTGAGAACCAAAGGATCAAATGTTTAAAAAACACAATACAAACAATCAAACTTTAAACCAAAATAACGCACTAGCTAGTGCCAAGAGCACTCAAACAAAAACTTATAAATTGCTTACAAATACGTTCACTTCTACATAGTCCAACCAGCACACTTACTCAATCCTTAGACTATGAGATATTGTTATATGCTGAGCAATAATATGAGGTAAAGATGTAGAAATATCCGCAAGTAGGTATCCTTGCTCACAATAAATAAGCATGGGATTCACATGAAGTTGATAAAACTCCATTTTAATTCCTCGTCTGCTCCAAATAATGTTGATAAATTACCCCCTAATACCCTTGCGAAAAACCATAGGTTGCAAATCTTAATCAAGTTCTGTCACATCCCACCTCAAAGATCAAGTCACTACATCTGCAAACCATCCATTGGGACGTGTGACACGCAAAGCTTAAAGAGTAAGTTGAGAAACATCAAGAGATATCACTCTTCTGACGTAAGTGATAACCAAGAAGAAAGCTTCAGCCTCAAGAGGAAGACAACATGTTTCTACAAAGATACAAAATTTGTGTACTGCAAATGTGTTTTAGATGCTATCATAATTTTTCACAAAACATTTTTCCTTTGATTTATGTCCTTATTTTTATAAAATATAATATTAATACGATTACTATGAAGGTTCCTTTTGAGTAACTCAAAAATAATTTTGAGTAAAAATTATCCAAAATTAACTTAAAATGTATATGTACTTGAAATAAAAACAAAATTATACATTTTAATTCAAGAGATTCAATACGTAGCTAAAACATTCTGGTTTGCAAATATAATTTGAGATAACATAATTGCTCATAGATTTGACTTTGCATAATAGCTTTATATTCATCAAAGCTTACTAAAGAAACCATCATGATGAATACATCAGTTATATTCACTTTACTATACAACTTTAGTAACTCAAGTTTTTTTTAAGAATATTACATTCTTGATAAATTGATATGCAATGTGAGTGTGCTTTACACTATTATTCATCATTTGGTGATTTATAAATACAATGCACTCTCATTTCACAATTCATATATTATGCTTTAATATAATTTAAGCAATAAATTTATTCAATCAGATAGTTTGAATTATGCATTTCTTCAAGATGACATAATACATATATTTTTTAGTATAAATATATTTTCAATTGTAGACATTTTTTGTTCAAAACCTATTTATGATTAACATCAATAAAATGTAACAATAGTATAACATAATGAAAAAACTTATGAGACAAAAAATCATAATATGTGATATTTTTTAGTTATTCAAGAATTCGCTTCAAAACTTTCAATACATCTTTGTTGAAATTGACATGTACATGCTCACCTTGACTATTGCTAGATTCAAAAAAAGCTAAAATGCGCATAATTAAATTCATGAATCTCTACATTGATTTATCATAAACAATCAATTGCAATTTCTTTAATAATCTTAATTTAACATTGTGATACATACATTTTAGTAACCAAAGTAGTTCAAGCTCCATTGGAATATTTAATATTGATTTTATCCAACAGAACATGATTTTACTTGTCTTGATTGCATTATATTTATTCTTCAAAGTAGTATAAAACTAATATCATTAAATTTATTCAAAATTTTCATAATTAATGCAAAACTTAGTTCATTCTTGCATTTGTAACTTTGATTTGACATTTATTACAAAATAAGCATGATAATCTGATGAATGAAAAAAAACCCAAGAATTTTCAATATCCATTTTTTTATGTTTCAAAAATACTACATGAAAATTTGTATGCTTTCATAGATACACAAATCCTTGAATTTCATTTATTTTCATAGCAAATATTATTAGTTTTGGATTTTCATACAAGATTTGTTTGAACTAAATTTTGTTTTACAAGTAAAAATTTATATTGCAAATAATTTCACATGAATCAATATATATTAAATTGCATCATATAAATTAGAGTTTGAATATTCATTATTTTCAATCTTACACAATTGATCATCTTCAAGCCTCTGCTAACTTAACATTTTCCAAATCTGTCATAAAGTAGTCTATTATGGCATCATGATAATTTTATTCATGAAAAATATGACCACAATTTTAAATGGCTTGAATTTTTTTGAATTGCTTACAATGCATGATGTATCGAGTGACAGATCCATTAAGAACAATATGTACTCGTCTTTCTTCCAACTAATCACGGAAAAATCACTCTCAATACCCATAGTACCACAATATACATTAGCAAATCCTGCAGCAAACGTGCACAATTTAGAATACTGAGTTTCAAAATAAGTCCATGCTTCATGGATATCTATAGATTTTTGCATTTGATCGACTGTTTCACGAAGTAAAATTCTCTTTGATAAACTATACCCAGTTCTTTGTGTTCTATTTCCAAGCTATCAATAAGCTCGTTGGTGAATTTCTTTTCAAGCCGAGATATGAATTCAATGATGAGGTACACAAAATTGATGCAATCATAGTAACAAATTTGCAAGAAAGACATAGGATAAAGACGCTGTTGGTGTATTGAATCATAACTTTCTGACTCAATCACATGTAATACTGCAGCAAGAATAATGATTAGGTTTCCAACATAGAAGATCACAACATACTTCTCAACTTAAGACAAGCTTTCAAATGACATCACAATATACAAATCACATCCTCAAACAAAGTGCACAACAATGTTATTGACAATTCTATAAGAAAGGTTACAATATCAAATGTTTTGATTTTGTTCATAGAATAGCAATTCGAAAAGTGGAGCTTGCATTCATGTCACATACCGAAAACAATAGATGAATCTAGATAAGTCAACTTCTTGCTGTGATACTAGCAATGTAGAATGCTAAATAAGTTTTGAACAGAAAGTCAATATCTGAAACTATTGAGATCAATGTAAATAAAGCAATCCAACACATGACAATAGGTTGGAAAATAAATTTTTTGTAATTTATGTATTCAAAAATACGGCAATGATGAGTTGAAAACCAAAACAGTACTTTACACAACAATAATCAATGAGTTTTTGCGACCTTTGAACATTTATATCAAGTTATGCTGTCAACTTAGGTATTCAATTGTGACAATTAACGTCAAATAATTTTTGTTGTTGGGATATACAAAAATAACAACTTGAACAACAAGATGGAGTTGATGTGCATCACACAAGAATCAAATCAAGAAGCAATTTTCTTGTTCAACTCAAGTAGAAACACAAGTCACTATTCCACGTACTCGACCTACCATAATTCTAGCATCATCAAAGCATGTTGATAAGAGTGTATGACCTCAAGACAATCAAATTGCATCCATAGCTTTCTCAAATATTTCAAACAAATTGTCTCTAGTGTGCCACTCGTAAAAAGCAAAACAACATAAATGAAAGCAATACAACTTGGTTCATATAACAAATTTCACTTGAACGTCAAAATACGAGATGATTCCAACAATTGATCAATCAAATACGACTAAAAAGAACCAAAATTCAGCAAATAATTTGCTAAATTTTTGAAATCAACTATGGCAATGATCCAAACAAACGAAAATACTTTTGCCTCATTGCATCCATCATGACAACCAACCGAGAGCCAATTCTTTATGTGCACACTCTACTTGACGCGCTGTTAGCTTGAACAACAAGCCAAGATCCACAATCTCAATAATAATTTTGAAAAGTTTGATGTTCTTGATATGAATTTGATAACATACAATCACATTGTCAGATTTGATAAGCTCAAAGAATCTCAATCCTTGATCAATAAAAATATCC